GAGAATTGTAATGCCCCAAATATCGAATTAGGTACTTTATTGAAAAGATTTAGAATGTGAGAATCTATTTGATTAATTGATAAAAGTTGAGAAATGATTTAGATTAGGGGTTTAGACTAAAATGTAACAAAGGATAAGTAAAAGGGCATTTTAGTCTTTTATAGGAGAATTAATTTTAAATTCATTTTCTTTAGTGAGTATTAAGGAAAAGAAAAGGGGAAATTAAGGAATCCAAAAAGCTATCTTCATTTCCTTCTCCTTCCCGTGGAAAAAAGGCCTCATCTATAGCTAAAGGTGAGTTTTCAATTTACTAGTTTATTCCTTCATTTTTGGTTGGGTTTTGAAGCATTGAGTATACTAGAAGCCTAAGAAAGGATTAAATGGGATCAAAACTAAGTTATGGATGAGATAATAGATATTGAAGAAAATGGGTTTTTGAGTGATATGTTAAAATAGGAGTTTTTATGGATGTTTACTGGTAGATTTGACTTGTCAAAGAGGTAAATGAGAGATTAAATGCATTAGATAGGATTAATAACATATTAGGAAAAGTGGTGTGATTCTTAGAATTGAATGTTCTTGGAAGATGTTAGATGTATTAAGAAACTAAATGAAGGAAAGTTAGTTTGAATAATTAAATAAAAGTTCAATAGGATTGTAGGGTGTAAGAATAACGAAATTTAATACCATTTGGGTGATAATCGAACTGAAAACAAGAAATTCTGGGCACGGGTATAACAGTAGCGATACTATAGGCTTAAAATAAGTAAAATTTGTTGGGTAGTATTGATGCCGATTCAAGTGGTATTGGTACCAATAGGGGAGTATCGATACTATGTGGATGGTATCGATACATGGATCTCATAATACAAAAATGGTATCGGTACCGAAATGGAGTATCAGTACCATAGTATAATAGTATCGGTACATGTTTTAATGGATGTTTAAGTATATCGAAACCAAGCTCCCGAGATAAGCAAAACTAAGGGCAAAGGCAAAGTACCGGAGTAATCAGCCTTACGTTTTGGATACATAGCGAGGAAAGTCATGTGAGTGCATTTAGCATGTTCATTAAGAATTATAAAAAAAATATTGTTAAAAAATATGTTGCAATGGTATATCAGTACTAAGTGTACTACAGGCACTATGTGTGCAACCCACAGAATTCATCATGAGTTGATGAATAACCATACTTTCACTATGTGTACAAATCCACAAAATTCATCATGAGTTGGTGAATAACCGTGCAGGCACTATGTGTGCAACCCACGGAATTCATCATGAGTTGATGAATAACCGTACATGCACTATGTGTGAAAATCCACGGAATTCATCATGAGTTGGTGAATAACCATACAGGCACTATGTGTGCAAATCCAAGGAATTCATCATGAGTTAGTGAATAATCGTACAGGCACTATGTGTTCAACCCACGGAATTAATCATGAGTTGATGAATAACCGTACAGGCACTATGTGTCAAATCCACAGAATTCATCTTGAGTTGGTGTATAACCATACAGGCACTATGTGTGCAACCCACATAGTTCATCATAAGTTGATGAACTACCGTATAGGCACTACTTGTGCATTCTAATAAATGAACATGAATAGAAAGTTGGTAAATTGCCATATTAGCACTAATGGTGCAAAGTTATAAGGTTTATAATAAATTGTAAAGAGTTTCTCTATATTAGAATTGTTATCCTATATTTATGTGTATAAGTTGCTTATGATTAAGTATGCCTCCCTAGGTAATACTTAATGTGTGTTTATTTCACGCGTAGGTAGAATACAAGCTGAGTAAGGAGATCATTGGACATCCAAGTTGGAATCGCCTCGTCAGTAACAGTATGACATACATGTCTACCTTTGATGTATTTTAGTTGGCATGTAATAGGCTTAGTAAAAATGCTCTGAAAAGTTTTTGAATTAAACTTCTGTAAAATGGTGAAGTGTTGAACATCTCTTTTTATTTGTCTATTTATGTTTAATGCATAATTTATTATTAGTAAATTAAAATGCTTTATAAAAAGTAACAAAATTGTATTGGTTTTCAAATGAGGAACTGTTTTAAAAAGTGATGTGACATCTGTAGCTCGTATATGGTAAGGTATACGTGAGATGTGTATTACAAGATTTTTCTATTGATGTCTGAAGAAGGTTTGTTGTAAAAGGATATTGTTGGAATAAAGATTGCATTTTGCAACTGGTTAGAAACATTCAGGCTGGAAAGGGCCCCCTTTGGATGGCTTGGCTCAAGGCGTACATCTTGAAGAGTTTAGACTTCTGGCAGATGGAGATCCCCACCAATGTTAGTTTGAGCTTTAAGAAAATCTTGAAACTTAGGCCTGAAGCTCGTCGTTTGTTTGCTTGTGCTGGTGCTAGTCACATGAAGGCTAGCAAAATCTGGAACAAGCTTCGACTTGCAAATCCCAAAGTTTCATAGCGTAGTATTGTTTGGTTTGCAGGTTGAACCCCAAGCATAGTCTTATTGTCTGGATGACTATTCTTGATCGTCTTCCTACAAATGCAAGGCTCTTGTGTAAATATTGGTAATGACTTGTGTTTGATTTACAGTTGTTAGTTAGAAAGCAGAGACTATATCTTTTTATAGTTGTTGCTTTCCTAAGGAGCTGTGGGGGACATCCTGACTTTGTATGGTCTTCCTTGCAGGACTAGCTGCTGGGAGCATGAACTTGCTTGGAGTCTTGTGCATCTAAAATGTAAATCCTTCGTTGATATGATTTTTAAGCTTGCATGGGATTGCCACATCTATAGTGTGTGGGAGGAGAGGAACTGTAGGCACTTCGAAGGCACATCTCGCTCGGTTGATAATGTGTTGCAGGGCACAAACGAGATGGTGCAGATTCGTCTAAGGTGCTCGAAGATTACTAGTGATTCGATGAATGCTAGTCTTTGTAATCGATGGGGTCTTTCCTAATTTAGTATTTGGATTATATTCTATTGTCTAGTAATGTTGTTGTATTGTAATATTGCAGTTTCTGCTCTTCTTTAGATAATATTATAATTTATCATATATATATATATATATATAAAAGGATACTATGATAATGATTCTCTTATTTATATATGTTATATGAAGGGATATTATATTAATTTTTTTAATCTTAAATCTGATTTCGTCTCGATTTTGATGTTCTCAACAAAATTTATCATTATAAAATCAATTGATTCTATAAGGTTCTGGGCATGGGTTTATGCATTCGTTCGATTCATGCACAAAATTAACCTATGGAAAACAACGCACAAGTCAGGTATCTTTGGGTCAGGTGATGTTAATAAGCGAAGTTGTTCACCATTGCTTCCATTTCTTTGAAAATGCCAATGGAAAACGGTGTAAAATCTCCTTCATCGTCATCTAGTGTGAATCACCCCCGACAAGATTGGTTTGAAAATGCCAATGGAAAACGGTGTAAAATCTCCTTCATCGTCATCTAGTGTGAATCACCCCCGACAAGATTGGCTTGCGTTGTATAATGTCATCAGCAAGCTCCATCCTGCATTTTAATTTAATCAACTTTATAACATGCTCACTATTTGTTTCAACATCTTTTCTTCTTTAGTTTATGCTTTATCAATTAGAGAAGCAAAGTGCAGATTCCAAAGTATGCTTCACCTGCAACTCTTAATCACAGTATCTATAAAATTCCCCAGGCATTGCCTTTATCATCTGCGCACACTCAGTGAAAGAGAATGGCTAAAGAAATAACAATCTCAGCATCAGAGATGGCTTTTTTCGGCGAAATTAGAGATCCATACGCAAAGGTGATGGAAAACGACGCTCAGGGACTGCAGAAAATCTACGAGAATAACCGCAACGCATTGTTCAATCGAATCAACGCTTGCGGAGACACCATTTTCCACGTCGCGGCTTACAATGGACGCGATTCCATCACTTCAGATTTAGATGAACTTGTTGAATTTTGTAAGATAAAGGGATGAAATTAACAGTTAAACCTTAATTAACTCAATATTATGTTAAACTGATTTTTGCAATTTTCAATCTCAGATACTGCTATTTGGTTTCTAAAGAAGGATCCACAGCTTGCAACTTACAGAGACAAGTATGGAAAAACAAGCCTTCATGTCCTAGCTGGCATGTCCTCTGCTTTTAAGAGCAGCTCCCCTATTCGAGGAATATTCAAGGGGTCTTTCTACAATTGTATGTCTTCTATCTTACTATAAAAATAATTTTAATTTTAATTCAATTCAATTTGATAAAAGATTATTATTTTTAGAAAGAAAAAAAGAGTTTTAGGGCGGGAGAGGTTTTATAATATTTTGGGTTGAATTATTTTTAATTTATGGAGATCAAATTATTAAATAAAATGAAATTAAAAGGTGAAATATAAAATCACGTGGATGTCATCCTAATTGAACGGCATTGTTGTTTGGAAGGCCTTCATAGTGGTGCATTTCATGAGGATGAGAGTGACGAGCTTCCATTGAATCTGCAAAGCAAAGATTTAGAGCAGGGTAGGGCAAGCAAAGCTCTCAACCAGTCAGAGCTTTGCGAAGGTAAATTTTTGTTTTTCTATTGATATTCGAGACTCGTAACTATCCCTTCCAAGAATGTTTAATTTATTGTCGTTTTATGAATCTCCAGTAAGATACGATGATTGTACATGTTTGAGCCTCTCTGTGTGTAGGATGGAAAATGATTGATGGGATTCGGGCTCGAAAGAGAATGCACGAATCAGCCGTTAAACTGACCAAGATATTAGTGCGAACCGATTCGTCTTGGTTCGATACTCACGAACCTGAGGAGGATGACACAGTTTGCTTGGAAAGAATGGAAGAAGAAAAAGTAAAGAGTAGCGCAGCGCCCGGCATCGAGTTCCCACCCGAACCGGATATGCCTCTGTTCATCGCAGCCAGAGCGGGCATTGTGGAGGTAGTGACCGAGATACTTACGGTGTACCCTCAAGCCATTGATCACATTAACCGAAAAGGACAAACGTACTTCATGTAGCCATCATGCATCGGCAATACAAAGTGTACGATGTCCTTAGGGATAAGAAGGAGGCGAAGAGGTTGGTTCGAGGCATTGATAATCATGGCTGCACCATATTGCACCGCGCCGCAGACACCAAATTTTACCACGGAGGAACCAAACCTACTCCTGCCCTCAAATTACAGCAGGAGCTGATATGGTTTGAGGTGAACAATCAAATGAGTAAACAAATTTTTTTTTTTGGGATTTGTCATTCAAGTACGAGTTATTTCGAGTCACTTGTTTGAATAATTTCGGATTTGAATTGTTTAGAATTCAAGTTTGATGGTGGACATTTATACTTAAATCAAACTGATGCAGCAAGTGAAAGCTCAAATGCCCCCTCATTTTATCATGCACATCAACAAAAAGGGCAAAACAGCAGATGAGCTTTTCAAGGATATGCACCGACAGCAACTCAAAGTCGCCCAAGATTGGGTGAAGAACACCTCTCAGTCGTGCTCGACGGTCTCCATTCTCGTGGCCACCGTCGTCTTTGCCGCCGCATACACCGCACCAGGAGGTTTCTTGCAGAGTAAGTAACTAATTACTACCAGATAATCAACTGCATAAGTTATGGAGTTACGATATTGAATCATGGCTATTAACAGCAGATGGGAGACCGATCCTCCTTGAGAGGCCTCTCTACTCGTTTTTCACCGTGATGGACGTTGCCGGCCTGGCGAGCTCGTTGACCTCGGTGGTGGTCTTCCTCTCGATCCTCACTTCTTCGATCGATTTTGGAGATTTTCATCACCGGCTCCCACGGAACCTCTCGCTCGGTTTTACCTTTCTGTTTTTCTGTCACTTCGACAATGCTAACGTTCACGGCCACCATCTTTCTGCTCGTTCATTTGCAGACAAAGTGGACCGCATCACTAACGTATGCTGCCACGTTGCTTCCCATAGGCGTATTCGCGCTGTTTCAATTCCCTTTGTACTACCAGTACTTCAAGGCTGCAGTCAAAAGCATTCTTGATTTCCTTGGGAAGAATTTGCCTGGAAACTGGGATTTTCTTGAAATTAAAGATGAATGATGGAACCATACAGGGGAAACGATTCTCTCTATGTATCGTTGCTTAAAGCCCTTTTGTTTATGGATTCTATATGGACTATTATTTTCTCTTGCCCCTATGTTCTACTTTTGATTAATAAGAGCAAGAGATATAAATTGTTAGGAGATTCAATTGATACCAATTTCTTAAGCACTTCACTGGTTGTCTAGCAGACAAATATTTTTTCATTTTGATTTACTTTAATTATTATAGTAAATTGTTCACACGAAATATTTTAAGTCTTAAATTTAACTCAAACTATTTAAATTCGAGATGATCTTAATAATTATTAGATCAAATTTATCTATTTATTTATATATAGATCAAACTTAAATAATCTACAAATACAAATGCTTTGTTTACACTACTTAGGAGTACTCTTTTCTGAAAATGTTTCTTCAAAGAAAAAACAAAAACAAATACCGTATTCATATGTGACTTTGTTTTTAGGGCATAATCAAGCTCTGTAGCCCAATATCTACATTTTCTTATTAAATTTAATTTCAAATTTTAAAAAAAGGTTCTTTTAAGCACCCAATCCTACCACCAACCCCAACTCCAACCAATTTCAAGGTTATGTAAAGGACACACACGGCGCACCCATCCACCCACCTCTATGCTCTTATTATATGAAGAAAAAATATTATCCTTAAGATCAGTTATAAAATTAATATTAGATTTTAAAAATTGTATCTATATATTATGGTTGGTTCCTACTTTAAATGAGAAAAGGTACATTAATTGATAAAGTATTAATGGTTTAAACAAATTTATATAAGAAAATGTAGTTATACAAATCCAAATTGGCTATTTTGCCGGAATAATGCATACGGGGAGGTTTAATTCCCTAAATAATGCACTTTAATTATTATTTCCCCAAATGGGGTGATTGCTATAGGAAATATGGAAAGCTCGGCGTCTTCAGATTTGATGGAGCTGTCGTCGTCTTCAACTTGGATATCCCGACGTCTTCAGCAGATGTGGAAGCGTGGGAGCTGTGCATGTATGATTGATCTCTCGGCGTCTTCAGTTGGATTCTTCATAGGAACTCTCGGCGTCTTCAGTTGGATTCTTCGTAGGAAATCTCGGCGTCTTCAGTGCTGTGCATGGGACTGGACGTGAGAAATCACGGGTTCTGCAAGGAGAAAGCACGGGTTCTGCAAGGAGAAAGCACAGAAATCACGGGTTCTGGGTCCTGCAGGGCTGCACGTCTGCATGTGGGGGTCCTGCACGTCTGCATGTTGGGGGCATGCAACTGTTGGATTTCCGGCGTCTTCTTTACATTTAGTACGGATTTCTCGGCGTCTTGCATGGAAGGCTGGATATCTCGGCGTCTTCTTAACAAATAAATCTAATAATGCGGATGAGTTACGAATGTGTTATAAGAGACTGCTCGGGCTGAGGAATGTGAGAGTTTGGGGCTGAGGCAATTCACAATTAGAAGCAGTGAGAGCTTGAGAGGGAGATGATCAGCAGTAAGATCACAAAGCATAGCCTGAGGTAATTTAAACTCAAGCCCTAGATCTCATTTGATTCTTGTTTTAAAGGTTTAGGGTTTCATATTGATCTCATATTTTAGTTTCATAAGTTTATTAATTTGTGATTATATGTTTACACTCTGAAATATAATTTATATGTTGTTACATAATTTGAAATAAGGTTGGGACCATTTTGGAACATTGTAAAGTTTTAGGGACCGTTTTGTAAAATTTAAGGAATTTAAGGAATAAGTAAATTATTAAAAGTTGCTATACTATGCTGGAATTTAGTATTAGTATGCTTGGTTAAATTAGAAAGAATTTAAAATTTATGGATTAAATTGCTAACTTTGAAAATGTTGAGAACCAAATAGTAATTAGGGATCGTTTTGCAAATTTGAGGAATTAGGAATTAGAGTAAATTATAAAAAGTTGGTATACTATGCTTGAATTTAGTATTAATATGCTTAATTGGTTTAAATTTGAAAGAATTTATAAATTTAGTGATTAAATTGCAAAGTTTGAAAATGTTGAGGCCAATAGTAATTAGGGATCATTTTATATTTGATGTTTATTTTTATTAAAGTAGATACATGCAATTGATTATTTGAATAAAACAATGTAATAAATTGAGTGTAATATTTAATTTTTTTTTTGTCTAGATTTGTTGAAACATGGCCGAAGAAAATGTTTTTTGAGGCTAGATGGTCGACACATTCGAGTAATTTGGGAGAACTAGTAATATGATAGACTTATTTTTTTTATTTGAGAACGGTGTATTATTCTAATTACAATGATTATAAATTGCAGGATGACGAACAACGAGTCCTTCGTCCTCGACTTATCAACTGTGAGATGCCAGATCAACGTATTGTTGATAATTTGAAAACAGTGGGTTTTTATGATGTTGCTTTTGTAAGAGAATTCGGTTGATCCCCGGTTTGATAAGTGCATTATTGAAGGTGGAGACCAGAACTCATACTTTCATCTTCCAGTGGTGAATGTACGATCACTTTGGAGGCCGAAGAAAAGTTCTTTTGAGGCTAGATGGTCGACACTTTCGAGTAATTTGGGAGAACTAGTAATATGATAGACTTATTTTTTTTATTTGAGAACGGTGTATTAATTCTAATTACAATGATTAATAAATTGCAGGATGACGAACAACGAGTCCTTCGTCCTCGACTTATCAACTGTGAGATGCCAGATCAACGTATTGTTGATAATTTGAAAACAGTGGGTTTTTATGATGTTGCTTTTGTAAGAGAATTCGGTTGATCCCCGGTTTGATAAGTGCATTAATTGAAGGTGGAGACCAGAAACTCATACTTTTCATCTTCCATGTGGTGAATGTACGATCACTTTGGAGGATGTGGCTTACAACTAGGGGTTCCTACAAATGGAATGGCAGTGTTGGAAATACAGATCTTGACATGTTTGCAATATGTGAGCGTTTCCTTGGGAAGGTACCAGACAAAGATATAGCAAAAGGGTCACGGCTGAGATTATCCTGGTTGGCAAATGAGTTTAAGCTCGATCACAATGTAGTGAGCGAGACTTATATATGCAACTCGAGCATATATTACGTTGATCGGCGGAATCTTGATGCCAGATAATCCAATAATCTTGTCCATATACAATATCTTCCGTTTTTGGAGAACTTCTTATGACCCGTCAGTATAGTTGGGGATCAGCAATATTGGCATTATTGTATCGCGAGATGTGCAAGGCTCATTAATTGTTAATGATGCGTACACGACTGAAATCGGTGGATGCACGATGTTATTACAATCGTGGGCGTGGTACAGAATTCCATGGTTAACACGATTAGCGAACTGCAGTTGACTTTCCTCTTGCCGGAAGGTAATTTTATTGATTTAAAATATTTTATCTTTAATTAAATAAAGAATATTTGTAATGAAAAATAATTACAAATTTTATTTTGATTGGTATACAGATGGAGGCATAAAATAGAAGAACGGGGTTGGCACACAACAACGTGAAAGAGTTTAGGTTTAAGATTGACATCAAATGCAAAGTTGAGGTATATATAAAATTAATAAGTGAATTTATTTTTATTATTTTTTATTATAATATTGTTATTTATTAATTTGTTGATTTTTATAATTATTTAATTAAATAAAAATATAATTTTATTTTATAGTTTATTTGGAGGCCGTACGATGATCAAGAAATTATGTCGTGCGTACCGCAACATGTCTGGGAGGGTTGTGAATATGTGTGCTGTTACACCATTGATCCATTTCATGTTGTGAGTTCCAATTTGCCGATAGAGTGTGAGCAGTTCGGCTTCCACCAACATATTCCAGTCATTCCAACATATTCCAGTCATTCCAGAGAATCATGATGCTCTCCATCGATTAGATGGGCGGGGTAGGGTCGGTGAGGATTGGTCGGTGAGGCATGCTAACCATATCAATCATTGGAACAACAGGGGTTCATACTTGCCAACGCTCACTCCCATACAAGCAGATGACTTTGACTTCAAGAGTTCGGATTACCTGAATTATTTTTGGGAACATGGAAAGCCGTTCTTGACAACAATCAGAGAAAGGCGACAATTTATAGAGTATACGAAAAAATTCGGTAAACCCGAGAAACCAAGAAGGACTGGGAGTGGGAGTGGGAGTGGGAGTGGGAGTAGGAGTTCTTCTCACCGTGGAGCAGAACAAGAGACAATGGATAATATCCCACCAGAATCTTTTGATCACACAAGATCATTTAGTCAAGTGGTTGGTGATTCTGGTGTTACGCCCTACACTCCTCAGCATGTTCCTCATCAATCACTCATGTTCCCTCCTATGTTTGGGGCAACAAATGATTTTGATCAGATGACATCTATGATCACAAGTACGAGTGTTTGTCCTCAGATGGGAGAGCATAGTGGTGGTGGGCATGTATTTACAACACCAGAACCTATGCCCTCGATGAATGAGCAGGTGGTTATGCTGAACAAACTCCTGAACAAGTGCAACGACAACGAAACCGACGTGGGCCTCGACATTATACTCAACAACACCCCGACACCGACAAGAGTTGTAATCCTTTTAATTATTTGTATCAAATTAAAGTAATTGAATCGAATATATTACTATTATTATATCAGTAAATATAAATCATTAAAGTCAAGTAATTATTATTAAATCATTAAAATTAAATCATTAAAATTAAGTAATTTATTAAATTATTAAAATTAAATCATTAAAGTAATTATTATTAATCATTAACATTAATCATTAAAGTAATATTATTAAAGCATTAAAGTTAAATCATTAAAGTAATTATATTAAATCATAAATCATTAAGTAATTATTATTAAATCATTAAATCATTAAATCATTAAAGTAATTATTAATCATAATTAAATCATTAAAATTAAATCATTAAAGTATTATTTAAATCATTAAAATTAAATCATTAAAGTAATTATTATTAAATCATTAAAGTTAATCATTAAAGTAATTATTAAATCATTAAAGTTAA